AGTCATCGCCCCATCTGAAAAAATACTTCCTGCTCGTCTTAATATGGACCTTGTTAAACAGATGCAGACAGTAGTTGCACCCCAAATATTTTCTCCTCGTGCTGTCTATGATGGTCGGAAGAATATGTTTGCGGCGCGCGAACTTCCATTTGAATCTGGCACCAAGGAAGTGAGTATTTTACGGGCACAATCGAATCCACTCATTGTTTTTTCCCCCACAAGTTCAATGTTAGCCTGAGTGAAACGCGTGCGGAATCCAATGGAAAAGGCCCAAAGATTTACAAAATTCGCCTAACCAAAGTGGCCGAGATCAATCCGGAGTATTTGTGATACACCCCCCCCAGTTTGAGCAGTACTCATTATAAAACCTAGGGTCCTTAAACGATTCATCGCCGGAGATCAATCTCATGACAATACTGTTCTTACCGCCATTACTGTCAGTTCATTAACGTCGTCCGTTAATCTTGCTCTGACCAATATATTGTCAGGCACTGAACGTAGTTATTCGGATGGAGCCAACCATGAAGTTTCCATTTAACGTCCGTTCATTCTTCACGGACCGTGAAACAAAGGATATTGGAGCTGGTCTTCAGCTTTGGCGCGGATATTTCCAATCAGTGAGACCTGCAAGTGGTAAGATGCTCATCAATGTCGACATCTCCACGGGTACTATGTACAAGGCTGGCCCTCTCCTTGGCCTTTGCCTCGAATATATTGGCAAGAATGACCCTAATTTCTTGGCACCAAAGCGAGGGTTTCCCGATCGCGAGAGACTTCGTCTTCAGCGATTCATTTCTGGCATCCGTATCCTCACTACGCATCCCGGCCCAGACGGCACTGTTCAACAGACTCCCCGTGTGGTCAAAAAGCTAAGTACTGCTGGTGCTGCTGCGCTCAACTTTACTATGCGTGAAGGTGGAACTATGACGGTCGCTGAATACTTTCAGAGGACTCAAAACCGTAAACTTCAGTTTCCTGATGTTATCTGTGTAGAAGTAAGTTATATGACATCACCATTCGTTGTATAGATTGATTCGAAATTTAGGTCGGTTCGGGGGCACTGATCCCTTTAGAGCTATGTACAGTTCCGCCTGGCCAGATTATGCGTAAACAGGTTCCCCCTGAAAAGACCAAAGATGTACTCGACTTTGCCACTAAAAAACCCAAAGATCGTCTTGCCAGTATCGTAAATGGCCTTGGAGTGAGCTTAACCAACACTATCCGATTTACCTCAAAAAACAAAATATATATGTCGAACAGGTCCTTGCCTACGGACAATCCGAATACGTCCGCCAGTTCGGTATGAACGTCAACTCCAGTGGACCGCTCAAAATCCAGGCCAGAATTCTCAAACCACCCACGTTAAAATATGGCCCTGGTAGCAAGCAGTTAACGATCGTGAGATCGCTTCTTCACTCCAGTACGATGTCCTAACGACACCTCATAGACGCCAAACAATGGTGCTTGGAATATGTAAATATATTTCAATGAAATTTCACCCAGCCTATCCATTTACAGTTGCTGTAGGGTAGACAAAAGGTTCTTCAAACCGGTGGAAATTCCACGGTGGGTAGTTGTCATCTACGAACAGCAGAGGCGATTCGGAGACAATGCTGCCCGAGACATGATAGCTGGCCTAGTATCCAGCTGTCGGGATGTTGGTGAGTTAGTATATGCATACTTTGTATTGTCCCCGAGCATTCACATACTTCATAGGTATCAGGATTGTGGAAACACCTTATGTCTACTGGGAGAATGGGCAAGGTAGAATCGCGGACCAACTCCGGGCTGCCGGGGCTGCTTGTGTTGCAGCTATGGGCGCAGGTCCTAATCTCGTCGTCGTCATCCTGCCCGAAGGTGGAAATGATATATACACAGCAGTAAAACAGTTTGTAACCTCCTCATTCTTTTTATTGGATTTATTCATTTTTTGTCAGCTTTGGGGATATTACTGTGAGTTCCATTCCATTAATATTAGGTCATGGCTGAGGCTTGACCAGATGGGAGTGGCCACTCAATGCATGAAAAGTTCGAAATGTTTCCGTGCTAAGCCTCAATACTATGCGAATGTCAGTTTGAAGTATGTCAAAAAATATTTACCCATATCCGTCGCTGACCCACTACCAAAAATTTAGAATCAACGTGAAACTAGGGGGTATCAATACCATTCCCGATCCATCTTCCGTCTCTGTATTAACCGATCCCCACAATCCTACAATCGTCATGGGTAAAATTTTCTATAATATCATGCGGCTTTTGCTCAGTGGATTCACCGCAGGTGCCGATGTCATTCACCCTGCTCCTGGATCCGACGGACGACCCTCCTTTACTGCCTTAGTGGCCAATGTCGATTCTGATACGGCGAAGTATATCGCTGGTACGGGAATATAGTCTTGTTATCTCGGACCTTCCCTTATTTTTATAGATTCTCGTGTACAAACCTCCCGACAAGAAATGATTGAAGACCTGGACTCCATGAGTAAAGTTGGCATTTCCCTATGCATTGTTGCTAGGATACTAACTATTGGATGTTTATTTAGCATGTTTTGCAAATGTATATGCGTTATCGCGAAATGGCAGAAAAGAAGGAGCAAGGAAACACTGCACCAAAACGGATTATCTTCTATCGCGGTGTGTCGAATCTCTTTTTATCATCTTGGTAGTCCCTGACGTCATTAGATGGTGTATCCGAGGGGCAGTTCAAACAAGTTCTTGACCTGGGTATATATTTCTTAGTAATTGCAAACCCTAGCTAACAGTTTTCCAAAGAATTGCCTCTCTTGAAAAGTACTGTTTCCTCCCTTCCTTCCAACTAGAAAAACTAAACACTTCAATTCAGAATCTTGCATGGAACTCGGTATCGACCCCAAAATCACCATTATAGTTGTTGGAAAGCGACACCACGTCAGGTTTGGCCAATCCATTTTTTTTTCGGACATTTCTGGGAATGAAATCTCTTATGAGTAGATTTTTCCCTCAAAACGACCGGGATGGCGATCGCAGTGGAAACTGTCACGCAGGAACTGTGGTGGATCGCGAAGTCTCCCACCCAACAGAATTTGATTTCTACTTGCAAAGCCACGGCGGGTTGTTGGGGACTAGCAGGCCTGCACACTATTCTGTAGGTCACTCTTTCTGGATATACTTGGGCATACTAAGTTTGTTCATAATTAGATTCTTTATGATGTGAGTTCCTGCTAATTGAGTACTAGGTCGAGAAAACCTAAATTAACAAACCCCTCAAGGAAAATAACTTTTCGTAAGTACATCTCCCTTGTATAAAAACCCCCTGGTCCTCACAGCCTCTACTCCAGTGCCGACTCTTTGCAGTCCTTGTCTTTCGCCCTTTGCCACGTATATGCCCGGTCCACACGCTCAGTTTCGATCCCTGCACCAGTATATTGTAGGTCAATGACCTACGAAAGATCTTTGGTATTAACTTCTTTCCTCTTAGATGCCGATATAGTTTGTTCGAGGGCTAAAAACCACTATGATCCCCAGGGCACTGTGGATTTTTCTGACACTGCCACGCAAATTGATGGAAGCCAGGCAGATACCTCTCTTGAAGCTTTCCGACGTGGTTTCAAGCCACTACACAAAGCCCAATCAACTTTGATGTATTTCTCTGTTGGTGAATCGTTTCCGTTTGTAAACACCTTTACTGATTGTCTCTCAAGTGAATTGTCTATTGTGTGTTAATCCGAATCCGATCTGTAAACATTGGCTCATCCTGTATTTTCTCTGGTGGGTCCCAAATGATCAGTAACTATTCTTACCTATTGTCTCCGCAGTGTGATTCTGTCCTTATACACCACCGACCACTGTATCAAGTATTTTTTTTTTAGATTATGCACCAGTCAAGAGCTCTCCCCCATTATCATCATCATCATCATCTTCAAAGAAGTTCCTTTTTTTGAGCACGTAGAAAATTCTTATTTCCAGTCCACTGACCAGTCAGAATCTCGTATTTTATAGGGAGTGGTCATTACTTGTAAATAGGATGGATTTTTATAAGGTCTTACAACCTTTGAAGAAACTATTAATTCAACCACCAGATACCGGCATTCAAGTATGCGGCATAGCTCAACCATGCCGCATATGGCAGAAGAAATGGCGTCGTTTTCCCTTTTGTAGGGCTGTGGAGCACTTTCTGTTAGTGGAGAACCTTTAGTTTCAATCTCTCTTAACTTAAAAAGCGTACTCACCGTCATGTACCATGTCGTCGCTGCATAAAGAACACTGTCAATCAGGGCCAACCCGGGCTGCGTTTAAGATCAATTCAACTATCAGCCCTTGAGACGCCAACTAACGCACCTGCTGCGTTCCAAAGAAAAGGGGACTCCAGACAAGATTAAGCCCAATTTGCGCATAGTATAGAGTGATACCGAGCTTGAGCCGAGATCTAGGTAGCGCTGTATCGCTCAAAGATGTCCTAGCGTGATGAGGGGGGAAAATACTTGGTAGCTGGAGTCACCGCGGCATCGAGGGCCTTGACAGCCACATGAGATGCGTACCCGACGGCTGATATGCGCGAGCGTTAGGGGCGAGTACATAGTGGGGGGTGCATGACATACACAGGAAGAGAATAGACCATGCAAATGGAACGATCTCTCTCGGTGGACGGAATGGCGGCATTGTTAAGTTCTAGAGGAGTCGGATCACATTGAAGGATAAAGCATAAAGTTGCAGCCTACCTGAAACCAGTCAGCCCTCACGAAACTAGTAGTTTTGAAAGCATTGAGAGAGCCAAGGGCAAGAGGCAGCCCCAGTGCCGTCACAGGGTTGCGTGGTATCGCAAGGAGGATGGAAGGAAGAAAAATAGAACCTGAAGGCGAGGAAGGCATTGTCGGATAAGTCGAAGTTAGTTAGGATCATAATCGATAATTATTTATATTTTATTGCGGTCTATTTGGAGCTGGTCTTCGCCAAGTCCAGAACAACCGAACCTGCGTAAAGACCAGCCTCGAATAAATTTGTCACGAAATATAAAAATAAAACGCAGGCACCGCCAAGAATCGAACTTGGGTTACAAGAATGATAAGCGCCACAACCAAGCGTGCATTTCAGAATCTTGAGTGATAACCGCTACACTACGGCGCCTCGCCCCCTCAATAGTGCAGAAATAACACATTGGCAAAAATAAAACATTGACTTCATAAAGACAGGGGCTCCGAGTCAATTCACAAATTTTATTCCGAAACGCCGATGGCTACCTTCATTCCCCTCGCAGACGACCAGAGAAGCGATTTACTCGAGCCTCTTTCTCGAATAGGTCCGATCGTCGTATCGTCCCTATTGTTTTCCAACCATCCCCCGCCCAAGAGATGTTATGTTGGTGTTGATGATAATTCCAGCCCTAACCTCGAGGAGGTTGTATCTTGGTTAGATCGTGGTGTGGAAAAAGTAATAGTTCCCCTCACATGCGCAAAGGAACTCATCGCAGCTGGTATTCCATCTGATCGCCTATACCTTCTACTTGATGTGGGGAACGTTAGTGCAGTTTCAGACACCGTTCGAAACAGCGTGTCAGGTGTATTTCTCAAGACTCCTACTATCGACCTAGACCTCGTTTCCTCTGTCTCCAAATTTTTCTCCAGCTCTGCCATTTATGTCCTTCCAGAGACAACGTCTGCCCCGACAACGTCTACTATCCGAGAACTCCAGAGTATCGGCGCAGCCCTGGTAATACCCACTTCACAACTGACACTCGCGCCTACATCGGGGAATTATATTAATATTGGAGATGCGTTCCTTGCATCTATTGTATCGGACCGATCCGATGGTTTCTTCCCAACTATAGTCTCCACTGTGACGGGCCATTCGCTTGGCCTCGTCTACTCATCTACTGAGTCTATAAGGGAGAGTATAATTACCGGGAAGGGTGTGTACCAGTCTCGAAGGCATGGTTTATGGCGGAAGGGAGAAACTTCGGGAGCAACGCAGGAAGTTATAAGTATCCGCTTGGACTGCGATTCTGACAGCATCGAATTTCGCGTATTGCAGCATGGCGCTGGGTTTTGTCATCTCAACCGCCAGTCCTGCTTTGGGGAAGCTAGCGGACTACCGGCATTGGAAAGTACTTTACGCTCTCGCTTGACTCAAGCACCCAAAGGTTCATATACACGGAAACTATTCGATGAGCCGGAGCTCTTGCGCTCAAAAATCATGGAGGAGGCTGACGAACTTTGCCGAGCAACAACAAAGGAAGATGTAGCATTTGAAGCTGCAGATCTTCTGTACTTCGCGTTGGCAAAATGTATTTCTGCGGGAGTTACGATCGCGGACATTGAACAATCACTGGACGCAAAGGCGAAGAGGGTGACCCGCAGACCTGGGAATGCCAAACCTCAATGGTCGAAACAAATTTCTGCGCATATTGACGAACAGAAAGAGCTTCCAACTGCAGATTCTCGAATTCGGATGCGAACATATGTATTGTCCGAAGTCTCATCAGATGAACGGTCAAAGTTGCTCAAAAGGCCTGTTCTAAAATCAGAGGAGATGATTAGCAAGGTGAAGCCAATAGTCGATGAAGTTCGTTCCCGCGGGGATGCGGCTCTACTAGAGTTCACGGCTAAATTTGACAAGGTCCAACTCGCTTCCACTGTCATTTTCCCCCCATTTGCACCAGAGACAATGCAGATTGACCCCACTGTCAAAAGTGCAATTGACCAGGCTTATATCAACATTCGGAAATTCCATGCCGCTCAAGTCGACGGAGAGGCCCTTGTTGTTGAGACAATGCCTGGTGTAGTGTGCTCCAGGTTTGCTAGGCCCATTTCCCGTGTAGGGCTTTACGTGCCTGGAGGTACGGCAATTCTTCCGTCGACGGCGTTGATGCTTGGCATCCCTGCTCAAGTGGCAGGGTGTAAAGAGATTGTTCTCGCAACTCCTCCAAGATCAGATGGGTCAATATCACCAGAAGTAATGTATGTTGCACACCTCGTCGGTGCATCGGCTCTCTTGAAGGCAGGAGGTGCACAGGCTGTGGCGGCTATGGCATATGGTACAAAAACCGTTCCGAAGGTTGACAAAATATTTGGACCTGGTAACCAATGGGTTACAGCGGCAAAGATGTTGGTTCAAAACGATACAGACGCTCTCGTGTCGATCGACATGCCTGCAGGGCCTTCTGAAGTGCTCGTGAGTTAAGTTGTAGGTTTGCCTGTTGGGCGTTGACTAACTTTGTTGACAAGGTGATTGCTGACCACACGTCCAACCCCGCTTTCGTTGCAGCCGATCTCCTATCGCAGGCAGAACATGGTGCCGACTCCCAGGTTGTCCTCGTTTCTGTGGACCTTTCCCAGGAAAAACTTGACCATATCGAGAAGGAAGTGGATGTTCAGGCCCGCGCTCTCTCCAGGGTAGATATCGTCCGGCAGTCAATCGCGAAGAGTATCATTGTTAAAACCTCATCCGTTGAGGAAGCTATAGCTTTCTCTAATGACTATGCGCCAGAACACCTCATCTTGCATCTAAAAAATGCAAGAGATAATGTCACCTTGATTGACAACGCAGGGAGTGTGTTTGTTGGTTCCTATACACCCGAGAGGTATGGAAACCAACTCCGAGACACTATAGATAGCACCTAACTTGAATCTTAGCTGTGGCGATTATGCTTCGGGGACGAATCACACTCTTCCTACCAACGGTTATGCTCGGCAATTTAGCGGTGTTAATACATTATCGTTCCAAAAACATATCACCTCGCAGGAAATTACATTTGATGGGCTTAAAGGACTCGGACCAGTTGTGGCAACATTAGCTGATTGTGAAGGGCTCGAAGCCCATGCTCATGCTGTCCGGATCCGGTTAAGAGCAAGTAGTACATGATGGGATGGTAGAAAGAGCTGTAGTATAATTAGAAATAGGAACCAGATGGTGATGATAGAACGCTTATTATTGGTCTAAGAACGTCTGGAAATATAGGCTCGGTTTTGTCTACAACCCCGTAACCCAGTAAGTAAAAGTAAGATCTAGTTGGTCCGGTATAGTGCGCGCTTTGCAACTTTGACAATTAAAGGTGTGTCGGGGAAGGCGAGTGCCTCAAGATTAGTTGCGTACTAAAGTGGCATAGGTAAATATAAGTATCAAAAAAGGAAGGAATGTAAGGCACATACCGGTGTTGGTACGTCAGCACCGGTGACTCGTTCGACAGGAGCATCGAGGTAATCGAAAGCCTCACTTTCAACGATTTGGGCACAAATCTCACTCCCGACGCCAAAAGCAGGGAAGCCACCCTCAACGATCACAAGGCTACGCCAAGACTTTAGAATACCTCTGGGATAATTATGGGGGAGATGGAGCATACCGATTTGTTTTCTTCACAGATTTTATGATAGTGTCAATATCCAAGGGACGAATGCTGCGCAAGTTGATAACTTCGGCTTTGATCCCTTCCTTTGCCAATGCCTCTGCAGCCTCCATACTATGGGAAACCATCTTGCTGTGGGCAACGAGAGTGATATCACTGCCTTCTCTTTCGACTTTACATTTACCGATGGGCAAGACAAAGTTATCGGACATAGCCTCAGCCGACATGGGGAAAGAGACACCATACATCATCTCGTTCTCGAGGAAGACAACAGGGTTAGGATCACGAATAGCGGCCTGATGGAAAATAAGGGATTGATTGTACTGATGAACAGAACCAACACACCTTCAAAAGACCTTTACAATCCTCTGCACTCCAAGGACTCACAACCTTCAGACCGGGGACAGAACCATACCAAGCTGCGTAATCTTGGGAGTGTTGCGCCGCAACGCCAGCTGCAGCACCATTGGGGCCACGGAAGACGACGGGGCATGGTACATTACCTCCAGACATATAATATGTCTTGCCAGCAGAGTTAACTATTTGGTCTATTGCTTGCATAGCGAAGTTGAAGGTCATGAATTCGCATCTGGGTCAAATGCTTGTCATATGGTTTGAGAAATACGTATAGTGGACATACATTGGGCGGAGACCCTGTAGTGCAGCACCGACAGCAATTCCAGCGAAACCCATTTCCGTGATAGGCGTGTCAACAACCCGTTTTTCACCGAATTTGTCCATAAGGCCTTTTGTGACCTATAATGAAAGTGTAAGGTTCCCACCATATTGGTAGTAAGCGGGCGAGAAATTACCTTGTAAGCACCATTATAACGGGCGACCTCCTCTCCCAAGATGAAAACTTTTTCATCGCGAATCATTTCCTCTTCCATTGCGACGTTAAGAGCGTCACGAACCGTCATCTGTTAACAGAATTGAATGGGATATGGAAGGAGAGACGCGACTATGCTGACCGTATGTTCGCTGTCCGCGGTTGCGTAGCCTCGCCGTGCAGCCTGGAGGGCTTTCCTGCTACCGGCAGAAGTTGTCGCCCGTACATTTACCAAGGCAGGAGCAAGACGGGAAAGAGCCGAGCGGGCGACCATACTTTTTTTTTTTTGAAAAGGAAGAGTGGAGGTAGAGAAAAAGAGTAGCCCTGCTGGCCGTCAGTCCGCTAAACACTTGTAAAGTGATCACTTTTTGGGGATTATTTTCATTCTCCGCGTGTATGACCTTTCCTGTGGTATTCCGAATCATCGCTGTAAATTTTAAGTCCCATATTGGATTAAAAAATAAATGATAATTAATCACCCACTGCCACCATCGCGATTGGCATGCTCGCCCGAAATCCTGTAGTTATCGTCACTGGCGCATCCAAGTTTTTATCTGCTCCTTCTCCTTACTTCCACACATACTAACTTCTAGTTCACAGAGGCTTAGGCTTGGCCGTCACTCGTATCTTGCTCCACAAATTTAATGCCAAGGTCGTCGCCCTCTCGAGATCACGAACACCCGAGTTGCATGAGCTAGCCAAATCAGACAATCTGCTAGTAGTTGAATGCGACGTGTTAGTGACATACTGTAGTGTATCATGCTATCTTACCAACACAACATACCACGCAGATCCGACGAGGTCGCGTTGACAAAAGCCATCACGGACGCCGAGATAAATTTACATCACATCGACGGCCTTGTTTTAAATGCTGGGACACTTGATCCTATGTGTCTTATAGGAGATGATACTCCACTTTCTGCATGGAAGCACCATTTCGACGTCAACTTTTTCTCT